AACCTAGTAAAGTTTTGGATGGAACCGATCACACACAGTTTCTTCCAGAGGCATCTAAGAGCCATTTCTTCCAACTCCTTTCCCATGATGAGACCAAACATATTAGATGTTGTATGAGAACATGCACTTGCCACACAAGGAACAGGCTACAAGACTCAAGGAAATTTGATGGTAGGAAACAGGTACACAGAGAGTTCCAGTTGCATGGTTTCTCTGATGCATAGATTTATTTTTAGTGTTTGCAATTTCTTCTGCATAGACCAGATAGACCAAAACCAACACTTCTATATCCCTAATTTTTTTAATTCATGTTTGCTAAATTCTAGCTTTTAATACATGTCTAAAAATTTACATAAAGCATTCAATAACTTACTAGTTTCTGGTGGCTTGCTGGACAGTGCTGAGAAAGTGAGGTACATGACGTAGCAGCTGATAACTCCTGACTGCAGCAAACCAGAATGGGGCTGGCCTTTAAAAGAAAGAGGAAAATAAGTTATTTTTGCAGAAAATTTAACAAACTGAAAAAGAAATCCATATCCTTTAAAGAACAGCACACCAGTATCTTTCAGAAGTGTATCTTTCGTGTTTTACTTAAAGCAGTTCATATGTTCCTAAGCCAGTTTAGATACACTTCCACTGGCATGTAAAAAAGAGTGTCCTTTAGTTTTGATGGCTGGTTTAGAAAGGCATTAAAGATTCTCCGTATGTAGTGAATCACCCCTCTATTTTCACCAAAACCACCAGCTTTCCAAAAGCTATTGACATGCTGCCATGACAGTTTTATTTGCCTGTAAATTTTGTGTTGGAGTAACTCAAATTACTATTTCCAAGTCCAGTATATGCAAGATAATAGCACACATAAAATATACTGAAACATAAAATACTGCTGTCAACTCCTCCAGGCCCAAACTTTACAGATGGTAAATCACAAGCAGTCAAAAGTAAATGGTGAATGAGTTTGACAGCTATTGCCCAACTGCTGTCACTGCAAGAGTTGTATAAGCTTCACAACACATTACCAGCACTCGAGGTTTCTTCACAGTATGACTGCCTGATGGCACACCCAAAATGGGTCACACTTCTGTGGTTTTAGCAGTTGAGCTGATGACCAGCAACAGCACTTCATGGTGCAGATAAAGGACAGGGGCAAGAGCAGCACCACCTCTGAACTATCTTGAGACTTTCTACCTGGACATGGCTCATGCCTCCAGGCACACACCTGTGGCAGCACCAGAAACCCAAGAGGAGAAACAGATCAGTGGACTCACGATTCTGGACACAGGGCGATATGGCCACCAGTGACACAAAGAGGCACAGGCCACCGTGAACACCGATCAGGACTTTGTTGTACATGCAGCCCTCTGAGTGTGTGTAGAAAAGAGCCATGAGAACCAGGGCTGCCACAGCAACGGAGTACAACGTAAGAGTGACCAGAGCAAGCAAACCATTCCACATCTGCTTGTGCTTTGCACCTGCAGTCCTGCGGAGAGAGAGAGAGGCAAGCACCTTATCTTTGTCTTCCCTTCCCAAAAAAATTAAATTCGAAATAGCCGAATTGTTCACATCTTCTAACACAAAAGACATTGCTTACTTTCCTGAAATGTGTAGGTCACTACACCAGCACAGGCCCTTGCAAAGTTCCTCCCATGAAACAGATGTAAACATTCCTTAGCATTAGTGTTTATCTTCTGTATTACCATGGCCAGCTGTTTCTGTAATTATAGCCCAGCATGACTCCTAGAACTTCCAGTCTCTGGGATCAACCCATCAGCACATCTCCACTTCATACTTCAGGGATTTCCTCAGTGGGAACTCAAGACTGCCGCAGGTTCAGCTAGCAAATGCTGCTCTTCACACAAGGACAGCAAAGGCATGTTGTCTGGCACAGCCTCTCTTCTGCCCCTTGCACCACCTCGACAGTTTTACCACCCCTTCGTTCAAAAAGCCTCATCTCTATTTGAGTCTACCTATCTCATCAATCTCCCTCAACTAAAGCATGGTTCATTTTGTATTCTTCTCTTCACCTTCCAAGCACCTCTTGCAAAGATCACTGATTTTTTAGGAGTAGCAACTAAAAAAAGTTGGTTTGGCACAAAGGGCTTTTTGGTGCATGGAAGGGTTTGGTGGTGGGGTTTTTTTGGGTTTTTTTGCTTATTGTTGTTTTATTTTGTGCAAACATGCCTTATTTTTAAGAGAGTATCTACTGGAGAGAGTGCTAAAGTTAAATGCTGCTTCTAGAAAAGAAAAGCAGCTACAGTAATTAGCAGTCAAAATATGTGTGATATAAGGAGTTCTCACCTCTTCCTCCTTGAAAACAGGTATCTAACAAAGACAAAGGTTTGCTAAAACTCTTTCTTTGATGTCAGTATGCTAACTGGAACAAGAAAGGACTGCAAAGGTTTGGAGAGGAAGAAATGAGAAACAGAAAGGATGGAGGTGGAGGCAGGAGTTCTTGCATATATGTGGGAGGACAATTTAAATATTTTAAATTTATGAGAGTCTAAGAGCTAGGAAGGTAATAGCAAATATGCCTGAACCAGAGATGAAGTCAATACCAAAATGGGGTATACGTGGGTTGATAATGGAATCTTGCATATATAGATGAAAAAAGTTGAAGAGAAAGTAGAAGTTCTCATGTCAAGAAACAACAAAAAAAATTGATGTGCATTAAGATGAAACAGAAAAAGCAGGATTTACCAGTTTATATCACTGTACACAGTTTCACTGTTACATTTTGCAAATCCAGTTTTATCCTCTTGCACCACTGTTTCTTAGCAGATATGTTTTCATATAAAATATAAAACAAGTTCAAGGCTTTTACATCCTAACATGCTACTGATTACTGGAAGCTGAACAATTCAATTTAAGAATAGATCAGCAGAGTAGAAGTGAATAAAGAGGAAACATCTGGGGAAGGAGAAAGTGGATGAAGCAAAGGTGAACAGCTCTAAACATTGAAATGAAAGGGTCTGCTTTCAAAAATTACATCCGTGCTATTTTTAAATTCCTTGTTAGGAGCAATGTAATGTTCAGGAGTCCACTAGAATGTTATGCAAATAACTACTTGCCCAACACATACCAATTTTTATTCCATTTGTGTGTGAACTCAACGAGCAGGATGAGCTGAATGGCAATGAAAAGGAAACCTCCTGTTGCTCCTACGTAGCGCCAGGCTGCAAAGCAAAGGCAGAAAATAGGTCAAACTGCAGTCGCCTTTCCCTTGAGATAAAATGGGATTACTGTCTATGCAGTGAAGCCGTGAATGCTGTTTGAATATCTCAAGCCCACAGATGCAGCAGGAGATTTCAGCTGAAAAGCCAACTCAGCTAGCTGAAGATTAGCTCCCTCATGAATTCAGCTTGCAATGTGCTCCACTTTCAAAATAAGCCTCTTAGGACATTTATTGAGTTTCCATAACCTAGAGAATTTTTGTGGAGACCATGAGTTACTATATTCAGACAGAAAATACTGAAACCTTTATTTGCGACTGGTGGCATGAAGGCATTTCACAGGAACCTAAACCCTGAAATTGCAAGGTACTGGAACCCAATACTATAAAAGGCAATTTCTTCCCATCCAGTACCACAGAAAAACAAAGGTGGAGCTTATCTATTTACAAATGCTGTCCCGAGCCACTCCCAAAGAGACAGGAACACTTGGTATTCACTGACTCGTTTTAAGACAGGTTATTTGACTACTTAACCATTGACCTACATATACTGTGTTCAGGTAGCTGTTTGGATACTTCAGACAACAGATTTCTTATGTACAACATCAGAAGTCTCTGAGAAAATACAGATACCTATTTAAATGTTTAGCTGCTTAAACAGCTTGTGCTGCTGTGCAGTGCATAGCCTGTACATGACTCCAGGTATGCAGCTGATTTCAGATGGCATCTGTAAAACTCACATTCAGGTGCTGACTGTTTAGTTGGATGTGTAGCTTCAGGGAGAGAAGTCAAGAGGTAATTTGGGGAAGAAAGCTTGTTATGCTGTATCTCCACACTGGGTTAGACTGCCTTTGAGAAACAGCATTCTAATCAACACAAAGTTCTGCTTTCCCTTTTCCCCAGACACCTCAGTTCTTGCAGACTTTTCACCATGAAAAGGGTCACTTGCAAAGATGGTAAGCAGTCTCGCTTGCTTATGAGTACAATGCATTGCACAAGTTCATCTTTCTAATCCAAACAGTGATTAGATACTAAGGACAAAAACATACGCCATCCCATGACTTCATAGATGACAGGAACAGGGATAAGGACTTCTGGGGCATCTAACTGAACCAGGACCGAACAAACAGCTAGTAAGAGCAAGAAGCTGAATTACACCTAGCAGTGGTTTATGTGAAGCAGTTTTTACCTCAGTTTCTCAGAGCACTGTCCACATAATATGTCTGCCCACTGTATTCTCTTCCCCTGTGTTACTCCTTCCTCTTCCCCTTTTAAACACCCTGGCTAGACAAGATTGGTGTTGAAACACCAGGTAACCACACACACAGGTAACCACGCAACCCTTAGCAAGAACAGGCAGCATGCACACTTTGAAATACTGACCCTATCCCTTTCCACCTGCCCCGACTCAACAACTTCAGGGCTTACGAGTACCTGGCAAATGAAGAGCATAAACTCATCTTGGAATCACAGTATTATTTTTGCTTCTAGGCCACAAGAAGCCTGTGAGAAGCTGTCCCACCAGAACTGGCATTTAAGCATTGGGCCAGTACCAGCATGCCTGTACGGTGTCAGGGTGCCTTCCAAAACTGGAAATGCTTCAATGCACAGTATCCTCAGCAGAGCTCCCACAAAACACCCCAAAAAGTCTAATTTTACCTTCATGCATTTACATCACCAGCCTGAAAGCTAACAACACCTCAATTCTTTTGCAGCATTGCAGGTTTCCAGCAGCAAACACAAGTTCCAGGAAAAGCACTGTGCTCCCTTGACTGCTGGCACCTCTTCACAGCGCAGCATGAACCTGTCTGCTGCGCTACAGCAGAGCAACCTGCGCAAGCCAAACTAACATGTGGCTCTACGCTCTTGAGAGAACCATTTCTTGTGCACCATTACAGCTCCCTGCCTCTTAAACAACCTGGAAGACACCACCACCATGGTGTTTTTACCTAGTGGCCCCGCTCTTGGTCAGAAAAAACCATGCTCTTTAGTGCATTTTCTTGAGAAGACCATGTACTCTGTAGACAGAGAGTTCCCCTCAAACTTTACTTGAAGAAACATTGCAATATTCAAGTTGATCAGACCTTTAGGCCTTATAGCCACTCACAAGGTAGTACAGAATGAAGCAGAATTACAAAACGAGAAGGACGTACCATTGAGGAAAGTGTCCTGATCAGGAATGAAGAAGGCTCCTGAGCACATTGCTGCCAGAAGTATAAGTTTAATCAGCCAGAATCTAGATGAGAGGAGAAGGGGGAAAAAAAACCAACTATCTGGTTACAATAGGCATTAGAGGTCTTCAAGTCAAGTACCATGAGAAATACCTATTTAAAGCCCAACAAGAAAACCACCTTTGATGACTGATTGCCACTTTAGTTAGTTTTCACTTGACTGCATTATTTCTGACAAAAGCAGTAAAATCAACTTTTGGTTTGGTTTGGGTTTTTTTCGCTTAGTACTACATCCAGCCAGAAAGCGGGCAGCACAAACCAGTAAAGAGAGGTGGAAATGAAGCAGTCAAATACTCACCCATTATGAATGTATGCTCGGCAGCTTTTGCTGCTGTTAATTTTGATGGTGAACAAGAAGAATAAAAAGAAGAAACAGGCCATTCCAAAACAGACTTTGTACACCGCAGAGTATCCCACCAACTTCTCACACATCTCACCCGCCTGAATACTCTTGCACATCTGCTTGTAGAAGGGAATCTGAAAAGGACACACGTTACAAGCCATTAGATAGGACACAGGCCTCCTTGTAACCATTCATGTCTACATCTGTTCGCCACCGACTTTTCAATGGCCTCGTTTAGTATCTCTCTTTCTTGATATCCCTCTGCCTGGATTTAAGGGTTCAAGAGACATACAGAAATGTAAACCACAAAGGACAGGAGTCTTCCAGAGCCTTCAGTCTCAACTCCCTCCACATGCTTTGGGGGTACAAATCCATCTCTCTTTCCTTTACTGCCCTCACCCCAGAGACCCTCTCCCACCTTCCCATGGTTCACAGCAGAAGACTTTGATTGCTTCAGTAATCAAGGAGGGGCATGCATGGGGCTGCAGGGCAGGGAGCTCTGGCTCATGCTGCCCTCCATGGAAATGTAGACTGAAGCACACCCAAGCAGCACAGGGGCAACAACCCCTTCCTCTCCATCACAGCCTCCGAAAGGGAGTTACGCCAGCTGCTCTCATTTTGTTTTAAATTAACAGAAAGGCAGGAAAATTCCACCTTTCTGTTGACTCATTAAATATTTGCCTTCAAGGCCCTGCTCTTGCTATGAGGGGAAAGCAAACAGCTGCACCTTTTGGCTTCAGTTTCACCAGGCAGACATGATACTGGGTGCCCAAAAAATCAGGTCTGTGTGGCAGGGACCCAGTCCTGTGCGGTGCTTCCATGCAGACACCCCCCTCACAGCCAGCGAGCCACTGAGCTGTGCAAAAATGCAGGCATTTAATTAGAAAACCACTGCTGGGTTTCAAATAAGAAGGTTCTCTGCATGCTCACAGATCTCAGCTGAGGCTGGTGAGACCAGTTGAACAGCACACCAAACCCCCTGAAGCTGACTGCACTTCTGACTGGAGGAGAGAGAAGACATGTCTGCCCGGACACAACATGCAGAAATAAGTAACTTGGGCAGGGGAGATGGGAATCAGACTTCAGAAAGCATTCAGGCAGGCCAGATTTTGCCTTGAATATTTCCAAGAAATTAGCAAAGATAGCAGACACTCCTTCCTTCACCTGGCAGGTCAGCACACAAAACGAGGACAGGAAAGAACACAGGACTCAAGAGCAAGTGACCAGGCAGTGTTCGCAGCTGTGTAGAAAGCCATCCGAGATGCAGGAAACAAGGGGTAAACACGTAAACTGCAGGCTTCCAGCCACTGGGCTCTGAAAGCCTGCTTCTGTCAGCAGGGTATGCAACTTCCCCTGACACGCCAGCAACCCAAACCAGTCAGGAGCTCAACAACCTCCTAGCAGCTTCCCAAAAAGAGCAAATAGTTTAGCAGCTCACAGCAATGTTAGGTTGCTGTGCTAAGAGTAGCAAACACAACTACAGTACTGAGCTGATCCTAGATGGGCTAGAAGCAGCCAAGGAGATGAAAAGCAGGTCTCAAAGCAGCTGCATGGTGTTACAAGAACGGATTCAAGCTTGGCCACTCTGAGAATGCTCTTTCAGGAGTAACTCAGAGGTGAGCAGCCACTGTGTGAGAAGCTGGACACTAAACAAGGAGTTGTGGCTAACTTGCATCCAAGAGTTTTTAGAGAGATGCTGAGAAACTGCCTGGAGCAGCAGCAATGCTTTTCCCAGGTCTTGAAAGGCTTTAAAGTATGGGACTGGGCAAACATGCCAGCATTCAAAACAAGCAAATGGATTGACTGGAATAATTAAGAAACCTATCAATGCCACAGTGAAGCCAGGACAAGCCAAGAGGCCACAACAATGCCCGGGAAAGCAACTGGCCTATCAATTAATGCTTTCCAGTTCTTTTGCTTATAATAACCATTAGTCAGCAGAGATTACAAAAATGTATAGTATTGAACCATCAATATTTCTGAGAAAACTGGGGATTTTTTTGATACAGATGACCAAGGAGACAGATTTCTGCAAGATCTGTACTTGGTAACCAAGCAGCATTTTGCTTGACACTTACAGAACAAAACAAAAAAATACCCTGGCACCTGATTAATGGACTGAATTAAACCCAGATCTTTGTGTAACTGTAAAAGGGCATCTTCTTTAATTGCGTATGTTTCTACAGATGGGTTTTTGACCTTGTATGTTCTTTTCTCCATTTAGTAGTAATTTCTTTACAGAACTGGCTGAGAGAAAATGGATGGATTCACAAGAACAATAAATCAGTTTGTGCCTACAGAAGCAACAAAGACCTTAGCCATCATGTAGTATGCACAACACTATGCAGTAATAAGTGATGGCCACAGGAACGGTCCTATGAGATTGAACACCCTTTTTGGAGACCCATGATCCTGAAGGAACAGAACAAGAATAAAACCAAACTCTTGGGGACCCCAGCATATAATAAACACGAACACAATGCTGGGGACAAAAGGGCTGATGTAATGAAAAGGGCATGTTTTCGTGAAAGGATGATCAACTGCTGGGAACAATTTATCAAGGCTTATGTGACTTTTTCACTAAAAGTTAAAAAAGACTAGGTTTTGGGGAGGGTTTTTTCCTTGGTTTTTGTTAGGTTCTTTTTCTCTGAAATGCGTTCAGCTGCTTAACAGCCTGCCCAGCCTATGTGATTCACCAGGCTTTCCATTTGCTGGGTAGTTTTGCCAGCTGTTAAATCATGGATTAACTATTTGCCAAGTCTGATATAGTGAAATATTTACTTTAAACCTTTAAAGGTTTAAAGCAACATAAGCTAAATTTTTTGGCGTCTGAGTAGGGGACAAAGCATTCTTGCTTCAGAAACTCAGTATCCGCTCAGATAACGTAAATGCCTCATTTGCTGCACAAGCAGTGATGTTATCAAAGCAAAGTGGGCAATTTTCCCAGTGCAGTGAAACCCTTTGAGGCAACGGCAACATCTACAGAAACAGGGGCAGACAGCCCTGAACTTGCTTTCCCCTCACTGCGAGCTACTGCCACCCAAAATAAATGCAGTGCAATAATCAAGCCAACACAGCAGCAAAATGTCCAGGCTGAGGCTTAGTCACTTCTGAGCTTGGGTCTGCCTGCACCCAAAAGCGTGACTGCAGGAGCGCAGGAAATGGCATCAGAGAGGGAATGGGAAGGAAGAAGTGTGTAGAAATGGGCCTGAAGAGCCAGCATGAGACTGCTTTTGTCTGGATGTCCTCATCCAACAGAGGGAGAATGTGGCAGATGAACTCTTATAGAAATAGGGGAAGCATGAAAGAAAATCTGTGTAGGTGGGAAGACAAGGGCGAAAACACAGGTAAAACTGCCTCACTTGAGCAGCTGAGAAATGGAATAGAGAAACAGAAAGCGACTGGAATAAAACACATGCCATCTTGCATCTATGCCTAAATTCTCATCAGAAACAGGCAATGGGCATCTGCATTTAAAAACCCCATTTTTGGTACCAAATTTGGATTTCAGCATATTGTAATGCAGTTAAGGGCCAAGATACAAACCTGGCTAGGGAAACCAGCCTGAAATCATGCTCTGCCAGAACATGAAGCCATCTAGAACTGAAATGCTTTGACAAAACTGAACTGGTTGTTACTAGTTTTTGTTTTCCTGAAAACATCTTTCTTAGTTTTCCTTTCATTGTTTAAGTAGGACCTGGATATTTTCAGCATAAACCGCTAGTTTTGAAACAGTTTTAGCATTAAAAAATTAATTTAAAAAAAACTCAGTACACTACTTCAATAGACCAAAATAATTCTCTTCCTTTTCTTCTCTCAATTACCCTTTCGAATCCTGTCACATGGAAGGATTTGCTTCAACAGAGTATTTGTGAGTAAAGCTGTATCTGTTTTTCAGAAAAACAGAATTAGTGAAAAAAGATAAATTATATATGGATATAGGCATAGAAGCACTTCAAGTTGGATGCTGCTTTGCTTCATTTTGGAATAGAATCAAGTCTCTAAACCATTTTGTGTAACTACATATTGGTCTTTTGTGCCTGCATCACTGAGGCTCTCGTGTCTTGATTGATGCTCTACCCCATCATTTGGCTTGATACGCAACCTTGCTCCTCTGAAATCTATTCTACACGCCACTATTCAAAATAGTTTCCTGGTCAAAACTACCCG